CTCCAGCCCTGAAGTCAATGTCTCCAGTCCTGAAGTCGACGCCTCCTCATGTCCCGAAGTCGATGCCTCCAGTCCAGAAGTCGATGCCTTCAGTCCTGAAGTTGACGCCTCCAGTACAGAAAACAACGCTCCCCGTCCAGAGGTCGACGCCTCCCGTCCAGAGGTTGACGCCTCCCGTCCAGAAGTCGATGCCTACCATCCAGAAGTCGACGCCTCCCGTCCAGAAGTCGACGCCTCTTCCCATCCAGAAGTCGATGCCTCTTCTCGTCCAGATGTCGGCGCCCCTTACCGTCCAGATGTCGACGCCTCTTCCCGTCCAAAAGTCGACGCCTCTTCCCGTCCAGAAGTCGACGCCTCCTCCAGTCCAGAAGTTGACGCCTCTTCCAGTCCAGAAGTCGACGTCCCCTCCAGTCCAGAAGTCGACGCCTCTTCCAGTCCAACGTCCCCTCCAGTCCAGAAGTCGACGCCTCTCCCAGTCCAGAAGTCGACGCCTCTTCCAGTCCAATGTCTCCTCCAGTCCACAGGTCGACGTCTCTTCCACTCCAGAGGTCGACGTCTCTTCCACTCCAGAGGTCGACGTCGTCTCTTCCAGTCCTGAAGTCTACGTCGTCTCCTCCAGTCCAGAAGTCGACATCGTCTCCTCCAGCGTCTCTGCCTCCGGTCACCGCTGGCCCAGCCCTCGCCAGGCGCAAGCCTCCCAGAGCCCGTTGCCGTCTCCTCCTATGCCCCAGACGCAGGCCCCCCCAGAGCCCGTCGTCGTCTCCTCCTCTGCCCCAGACGCAGTCCCCCCCAGAGCCTGTCGTCGTCTCCTCCTCTGCCCCAGACGCAGTCCCCCCCAGAGCCCGTCGTCGTCTCCTCCTCTGCCCCAGACGCAGTCCCCCCCAGAGCCCGTCGTCGTCTCCTCCTCTGCCCCAGGCGCAGGCCCACGGACTCTACTGGTCCCTGCCTCTTCTCCACCAGTCCCTCGGTTCCTCTCGGCCCTCCTTCCTGGTCCCCCTCCTCCCGCCCTGCTCTGTGTTCCTGTCGGCATCTGGAATCCGCCCATTGTGGGGGGGGGGGGGGGTGTACTGTCACACCCTATCCTGTCCCCCCCATTCTGTTCAGTCATGTGTCTGTTAATTGCTCCCACCTGCCTCTCGTTTTCCAATCACCCAAGCTCCCAGCCCTCATGTATTTAAACCCTCTCAGTTCTGTGTCTTTTGTCAGTTCATTGTTTCAGTTGTCCAGCGTGTGTTCCTTATTAAAACCTTTGTAAATCATTCCTGCCTGCCTGCCTGCCTTTTCACCCGCGTTTGGATCCTTGCCTCTGCTTCACTCACCAGCACGCCTGACAACTAGACTAACTTTAAAAACTAGGTGTATGGTGTAACTAAGGTGAAGTAAGACTGAAGATGGTGTATGTGTGAAATGTTCAGAGCCAGCAAATCCGGAGAAACGATTAGTTCTGATCCCATCAGAATCTGATGGGAGTGAAGATGATGTTTCGCGCTAATCTTTGGTTTGGAGATTCATAACACACATTGAGACGCCATTCTGCTGGTCTACATACCCTTTGCGGAAGTCCCTGTTAGATCAGGAATGTCGAGGTCCAGCTTGACCTCCTCTGGCACCGAAGCCGGTAGAAAAGCAGCGGCTGCCGACCAGACCAGTCTTGAGATACTTCCGGGTCACGACAGTTTTAATGGCATCTAGCGAGACCCAAAAGGGGGTCATGATGGTTCAGCTTTTATTCTGAAAGGAACCGTTGCAGCAGGTGGAAGAGCAACAGATTTAATCCAGCTTGTCGTTAGGTTCTTTCGGCTGAAGAGGAAAGTTACGGATTGGCCACTCCGACAACTTCTCTAGAACGCTTGAACTGAATTTAAGATGACGTGGGCGTAGTTTTATAATTTGGATGTTTTGATTTACGGTCGAATCAAAAAGGGACAGATTTACCAAGCACCACTAAAACACGCCTCGCGTCAGATCTGGAAGGCTCTGATTGGATCAGAAAAAGGAAATGTGTCACGTGATTCTTAACATTACATGTGATCAGTCTCTAGTGGAAACATTTAAAGTTATATTACTTAATATAATACTACTGATCATAAACATTGTCATTTCACAGATTGGTTCACATTTTATTATTGGACTAACACTTTGTTTGATTAGCTTTATTAAAAATAGAGTTCTTCTGATTTATTAAAAGAAAGAGTCCTTTGTCTTCATTCATCTCTTGAGCTGGAAAGGAAGAAACAGTTTAGGAGCAGAGCACGAGACCTTGAGCCTTATCTCATGCAGATTAGGTTTGTGTCAGAAACTTCTGGTTTTGCTTGAGCAGAGCAAAACAGAGCAGGGCCTTTTAGGTCAGAAATGGACAATTCATCGCACTACATCGCCGAGGCCAAAACCCAGGCATGGGAGGAGTTTGGTGAGACCATGGAGCAAGACGTCTGTATGGCTTCGAGGAGATTCTGGTCCACCATCTGGCGCCTCAGTGGAGGAAAGCAGTGCACTACCAACACCATCTATATTGGAGACGGTGTGCTGCTGACCTCTACTCTGGACGTTGTGGATCGGTGGGCAGAATACTTCGAAGACCTCCTCAATCCCACCAACACGTCTTCCAGTGAGGAAGCAGAGTCTGGGGACTTTGGATTGGCCTCTCAAATCTCTGGTGCTGAGGTCACTGAGGTGGTTAAAAAGCTCCTCTGTGGCAAGGCTCCAGGGGTGGATGAGATCCGCCCGGAGTTCCTTAAGGCTCTGGATGTTGTGGGGCTGTGTTGGCTGACGCGGCTCTGCAATATCGCATGGACATCGGGGCAGTCCCACTGGACTGGCAGACCGGGGCGGTGGTCCCCTTATTTAAAAAGGGGGACTGCAGGGTGTGTTCCAACTACAGGGGGATCGCACTCCTGAGCCTTCCTGGTAATGTCTATTCAGGGTTCTGGAGAGGAGGGTCCGTCGGATTGTTGAACCTCAGATTCAGGAGGAGCAATGTGGTTTTGGTCCTGGCCGTGGAACACTGGACCAGCTCTATACCCTTAGGGGGATCCTGGAGGGTGCGTGGGAATTTGCCCAACCAGTCTACATGTGTTTTGTAGATTTGGAGAAGGCGTTTGACCGCGTCCCTCAGGGAGCCCTGTTGGGGGGTACTCCGGGAGTATGGGGTACCAGGCCCTCTGATACGGGCTGTTAGGACCCTGTATGACCGGTGTCAAAGCTTGGTCCGCATTGCCAGCAGAAGGTCGGGCTCGTTCCCAGTGAGAGTTGGACTCCACCAAGGCTGCCCTTTGTCACCGATTCTGTTCATAACCTTTATGGACAGGATTTCTAGGAGCAGCCAAGGTGTGGAGGGCATCCGTTTTGGTGGCCTGAGGATCAGGTCTCTGCTTTTTGCAGATGATGTGGTCCTGTTGGCTTCATCAGAACGTGATCTTCAGCTTTCGCTGGAGCGGTTCGCAGCCGAGTGTGAAGCAGCTGGGATGAGAATCAGCTCCTCTAAATCTGAGACCACGGTCTTGGTGCTGCATCTGCAGTGATGCGGGCGTTGTACCGGTCTGTCGTGGTGAAGAGAGAGCTGAGTCAGAAGGCGAAGCTGTCGATTTACCGGTCGATCTACGTTCCTACCCTCACCTATGGTCACGAGCTTTGAGTAGTGACTGAAAGAACGAGATCGCAGGAGTTGATGAGTTGCAAAATCTTTTTACAGAGAAAGAAAACTAATTTAATAAAAGAAGTGGGTCAGATTTTTAAACATTGTCCATTTTATTAGGTAAATGGTAAACAGCCTGTATTTGATTTAGCGCCTTCTAGTCCTCGAACCCCCCAAGGCACTTTTGTTGAATTTGCACATCTATTCACCCATGCACACACACAGTCTCACACACTGGTGGTGATGTGCTACAACGTAACCACAGCTGCCCTGGTGCACACAGACAGAAGTGAGGCTGCCAAGCACTGGCACCTCCGGTCCCTCCGACCACCACCAGCAAGGCGGGTTAAGCGTTTTGCTGAAGGACACAACGACTGAGACCAGCACATTCTCACATCCAAGGCGTCAAAATATGACGAATGTGACCAAGCGTCAATATATGACGAATCGGGTGCCCCAGCGCGTCAGGATAAGACGATTACGGACACGGTGGGTCACGTGGCTCCGCTGGCGTCACTGTTTGACGCGCGCGGTCACACGGACATCATTCAACAATTTAACCTTCCCCTCACTCCAATCCTAACCTTAAGGTCCATAAACTGTGACCTTAAGGTTAGAATTGGAGTGAGGGGAAGGTTAAGTAGTTCTAATGTCCGTCTCAGCATCGGCGTCGGATACCGACGCTCTGGGACGCTACGTCAGCAGTTTGTCCCTGATCTTCTTATCCTGACGCGCTGGGGCGTCCCGATTCATCATATATTGACGCTTGGTCACATTCGTCATATTTTGACGCCTTGGGTGTGAGAATGTGTTGCTGAGACAGATGGGGCTCAAACCTGCAGCCCTCTAGTTACGAGGTGGGCACTGGTTCTAGATGATGGAAAGGCAACAGTAGCTCAAACAACCACTGTTTCCAAAGTCTAGAGAACAGCATCTCTGAACCCCAGCAGATGCATCAGATGCACTCCAGCAGCAGAAGACCACACCACGTGTCTCTCCTGTCAGCTGAGAACAGGAAACTGAGGCTACAACTCACACAGGATCACCAGAACTGGACCAGATGAGACTGGAAAACCTGTGCTGGTCTGATGAGTCTGGATTTCAGCTGCAACACTCAGATGGTCAGGTCGGCTTTGGTTTTTTGTGTTTATTGGTGACCCCCATCTGGCTGCCCCTGCTAAAACTCTCTGGATGAACCCCTGCAGGAAATCCATCAGAACGCAGAAATAAGCAAAAAGAGGCCTAAACGATTCTAATGTGACAAGAAAAGCATTCCCTTGTAACTCCAGCCCAGCTCACCGAATTCATTTCAAACAAAGCCTGAGAAAAACAAAGCGTCAGCACCAGAAGAGGTCGGATTATTTACCTCTGCAGATAAAAGAGGCCCTCCTCCGTGTGAAGTCCTACTTCCCCGTCAGCCGCTAAAATGGCTCCAGCTAAACAACAAAGCAACGCAGAGGATCTCGTAAAAACACAAACAATCTGAGAAACTAGGTCTGCAGAAGCACACCAGCACATCTGCATGTCAGCACCCCACTGAGAAGACAGATGTGCAACATCTCGCCACTTGTGACAAGCTTCAGCCACAGAAATGGGGAAGTGAAAATCTGCTGTGTCTATTTGAAAACAAGAGCATTCAGTTGACAGGAAACTCTAATTTCATGTGTGAAATTCCAGGACTGATTATCGGCACCGAGCTTCACTTCCCGTGTGGTCACATGAGGGTCGTGCCGCAGTGGAACTGTATTTATGTATTATGCTTGTACCGCTTCAAAGTCATTCAATTTACACCTAAAGCTGAACAGAAAGGAGTCACATAAACACGAACAGGTCCATCTTCAGAATCCTGGGCTTTTTTCTTTTGTGTTTTCACCTCATAAACATAAAAATATCCTATTTTGTCTAACAAATTGAACAAAAAATACATCAAAAGAAATGTTTAATCTAGGAAATAGATTTAAAAAAAATTATTAAGATAATTATTCTGAATAAGGATGACCAGTCCAGGCTGAGAAGGAATTACTTTTCAAATGTAGGAAACCAGAGTGAGAATGCAGAATTAAATGCAGAATCCACTAAAAACGATAATACTTTCATTAATGCGTTCATTAGTGGGTTGTACCCGTTAAAAGTTAGAAAACAAAAGGCAACTGAATTTTACAAGCTCATCATAGTTTCACTAACACAACCTATCAAATTGCCTCATTAGGTGAATTCATCTCTGTTGTTTTTTGTATTTTGATCATTTTTCATTTCAATCATTCTGAACATAAATATTATGTTACTGCAACCGATTATTTCCCAGTTATCGGTTTCAATTTTCTTTCAAGATCATGTGGGAGTTATACACACACACACACACACACACCCGGGGACAATTCAGAGTTGCCAACTTACTAATATTCATGTTTGTAGACTGTGGGAGGAAACCAGAGAACCTGGAGAACATACAAGTATCCTTCCTGGAGTCCAAACCCTGGAACTGATGTCTCCGCCCCAGCAGTGCTACTAATGGCATCATCATGCTGCTCCAGAAGTACAAAATACTTTTGCATAAGTTCCCGTTTGTGACATCATATGGGGTAAATAGAATAGATGTCTGTCGCTTGTGACAGCGGGAGATGGGCGTGGGGGGTGGATGCTTGGCCTGGGGGGACCAAGCAAGGCCTGGCATCCTGCCAGGCTTGAAAGGCGCTGGGGGGAACCCTGGTTTTGGTTTTGGGCTGAAATTTTACATTTTAATTAAGTTGCACTAAACTGCCTAAATAATGACTACACACGACTATTAGACACTCATCTGTACAGGTTTTCAGCAAAAACGTTGAATAGGTGTTTCTCGCTCTTTAAAGTGACAGAGCCTAGAAATGTCTCATTCTGGAAGGTACTGAAACTCTCAAGAATTAGTACAAGTTCAAGTTTTGTATCGACCATAGAACTGTTTTAACCCTCCCACTGTCCCAATGGGTGTGACCCCACGAGGAAAGTTGACCATTGAGCAGGGTTGATGGTTTATGCCTTGGGTCCATGTGGCAGGGGTGAGGAGTGAGCACCACCTTAACCGTTGTATTAAAAAAAATCTGCTTGTTTTTTAGAATTTTTTAAATTAGTAGTTGTTTGTTTTTCATTTCAGTTCTGTTCATTCTTCAACAACGCCATAGGGATTGAAACATGCTCACCAGTTAAACCCATATTTTACATTTATGACCAACAGCACAGTACAATAAAAATATTACTTTACCTGAATAAACACACACGTGCGTTTACTGGTAATAACTAAAACACTACTAGTGTCTGAATAATTCTGTTTCTGAGGAAATTGGATAACATTTTTTGCAAACAGTCTTATTGTTTATTCTGATTGGCAAAATATTTTTATCCCCCATCATCCCTGCCCCTTTAGGAACCTTTGACCTCTATGACCTCTGAGAACATTGTTTTTATTCTCTATATTCGTGATTTTCCTCCGATTACGTTTACAAAAGTTTTCTAACCTTCCTGTTTTTATCTCGCTGCACATTTTAAAAACAGCTCTACGAGGACTCACCGCAGCAGATCCCAGATCAGTTGGTGTGAAAAGACAAGTTACACCTAAAACAAGAGCAGATGTTACCTTCTGTGACTCCGCAGTTGTGGTGCAACGACTTCCGGTGACCCTCCAGTCCCACCAGTCCAGCAAACATCTTGTTTTGGATGTTAAAAGCGGTTGTCAGTCAGAGATCCCGGTTCCGGAGGGTTACATCGACCATGTTTTTAGGAACCAAGCGAAAGGAGCTGATCTCATTTCCGTTGTGGAAAATCAACCCTGTTTTTTTGTCTTTTAACTCAGTTCTGTTCAGCAGGAGAAAGCGGCTCCTTCAGACACATCCGGACTGACAGACTCGGATCTGGACTCTGGAGCAAGGCTCGGTTACAAAAAGCCGCCAGCTTGTTTTCAGCAGCATAAATCCTTGTATCCGTTTCCTTGGCGCACAGATTGGACAAACATCCGGTTGTTAGACGGCTGAACGAGACTAATCTGTGCGCTGGCAGATTGATCACTGGACGGTAATCCAGTGTTGGATCCGTTAGTCGCTGCGCTGTGCCCGTGCGTCATGCGTCATAGAACCGCGGCGTAAAGGAGGAGAGGAGAGGAGCTATACGTGTTCAGGAATTTGACTCCAAACTCCTCCGGCCCGCCTCAGAGGACCCTCCACTAAACTAAATACTGCGCTTAATTCTGTTTTTATTCCTAACTTCAGACCAACAAACGGAAAAAAGTCAATTAAAGTGTCATTATTTTTAATCCAGTTATTAAAATGGACTCAAAAGAGTTAATTAAAGTTAGTAATTGTGTGTTAAACGGTGGTTTCACGTGACAGCAACAATTATTTCGTTGTTTAGTTTTTTCCTAAGCTCCAGATTCCACAGCTGTCTCTCCGTCCTTCTTCCCACGCTTTCAAAGGCTCCTTTCACTCCGCTCGGCTGGCGGATGAACGACTCAGTTCACATGCACACCCACAATAATCAGCAAACTGCCTCCGACTGGACCTCTGCTTCTGGTGTCCTTTTAAATCACACACATTAAAGCCAATACGGTTTTCTACGTCAGATCCAAATAACTTCTCTCATTCTGCAGCTTCTTTCTCCTTTTCGTCTACATTACTGACATTTTAATTCAAATGAATGGCTTAAAATTGGGTTATTTGTAAGACCTGAATTTGTTTTACTACTTTTTACACGGCTGCTTGTATAAATGTGAACAGCAATTGAAATCTTAATTCCGTTAGTAATGCAGTACTGCGGTATTGCCGCAGGAGGGCAGCACGTCATTGCCTAACCTCAAAGGAAACGTTACTATCGTGCGAAATAAAACGTGAATTGTTTTTATGCTATATGACTGAGTTTAATGAACTTGAACATTTGTTTGAAAGCTTTTTTAAGCACACTAAACAAAATGTCCTACATGTGACTGTCACATACATTACACAGAACTAAAATGGTCAGATCTGAATCACATCTGGAAGTTGGAGACTTTAAGTACTCTAGAAGGGTAGTAATAATAATAATAATAATAATTATTATTATTATTATTATTATTATTATTATTATTATTAAGTCGTAATGTTTTTTACTATTATTGTTATATTGTTTTCTTACATTTTCCCTAATTATTATCATGTTTGATTTTTATTACTCGTATCATGTGTCACTGAAGGTGTTTTTTTTACTAAATTTTATAAATTTCTTCCTCATAAAATTATGACACATGAGAAAATAAAACCATGTCTGCTTTTAAGGCACTCCTGAAAACACACCTCTTTACCCTGGCTTTTAATACCTTGTGAGATGTTGGTTTCTATTTTTTATTTTATTTTAGCTGTTTTAGGTGATTCAAATGCGGTTTTATCAAGTTTTATCAAGTTTTTATTTTTAATATAGGGCTAGTTTAATTTTATGTATCATGTGTTTTATTTATCTTTGCTGTTTTCTTTCTAGTCAATTGTTTTAATGTACTTTCTGTACAGCACTTTGTTCCTGTGCTGGGTCTTGTAAAGTGCTTTATAAATAAACTGGATTGGATTGGATTGGATGTGCAGATGCTACTGAGCACATGTAGTACCTGAGTTAGCCAGAAGGTGGCATACTTAATTAACGGCTATGCTCTCAGCATCTGTGTTCAAGAACAGAAGTTTAGTCACAAAGTAAAATTAACAATAAGAAGATTAAAGAGTAAAAGCGAGATTTCCTTTACCTGCTTCCAAGCATCGGGTTTCCAATTTTAAACTCTAACGATGTTAAACTACTTGGATCCATCATCTTGCAGAGAAATGCCTAAATGACCAGGGGCCTCGTTTATCAAGCTTGCTTACACGCAAAACGGGGTCGGAAAACTGCGTAAGCAACTTTCCACGCAAACTTTGGGATTTATGAAAGAAAATTTAGCGGAAAAATGTGCGCAGCTTTAAGCTGACTAAGGACCTGGCTTACACACATGCTGGACATGGAGAGCACCTGCAGTGCTGCTGATGAGAAGATAAAATTATGAAATCCTGCAGCATCATCACTTGTACTGCTTCGTATTCACACAGAACAAGACCCCCACATGCACACACACATACACGCATGCACACACACACACACATGCACTCGCAAACTCACACACACACACGCGCGCACACACACACACAGCCTGAAGCACAGAATACAGAATATCAGCAGGGGGACAGATTGAGACAGAACATCATGCGTGTGTGACAGTGTGTGTCCTGTCACTGTGACCTGATTGATCATGCACCCTGGCTACTTGTACAGGGGAGATCTCTGTTTGGTTGACATGTGACTTTCACCCGGGAGTCTGGGGATCAAATCTCAATTGGACCATTTTTTTATCTCCACCACAGATCTCTCTGAAGAACTCACAACATTGACGGCTTCAGCAACGCTGCGCCACTCCGTGGATTTTCTCTTATTTGTTTTGCAAAAGCACTTCCTTTCATTTCTCCACCTCACCCACAGGTACCTCAACTTCTGCTTCCTTGATCTGCCTTGATCTACGGTCGCCATGTCATTGGTGGAACGCTGCAACAGCCGGCTTATGTATACGCATGAGATCCACAAGGATCATTGCATTGACTATTTATGGCAGTAAGTGGGCGTGGTGAGGGCGGGATGTGACTAAAAAGCAGCTGAGAACCTGTCGAGATAGTTTCTGATTTATGAAGCGGAGATTGCGTGCAGCTGTGTGTCCTCCATGTTTGATAGATCACACACCTGATGGGTGTAAGTAAAATTTTTGCTGAGCTTAAGTACGGTTTTAGTAAGGACTCTACGCCATGTTTGATAAATGAGACCCCAGAAGTGTGGACTCGAGTCAGACTCAAGTCATTATATAATGACTTCTGACTTGACTTGATAAAATCTATAAAGACTTACGACTTGAACGCCAATGACTTGCGACTTGAATCGACATGCAACTGTTGACTTGATGATGGCCTGAGCGTATTTGATATTTCAGCACAAAAGTGGCGCAACATGGACAAAAATCCTTCTTGGTTCTGGGTCTGAGCTTGTTCTGCTAAAAGCAGCAGCACTTTGTTTAGCATCAGTTTCAGTTGCACTTCCTGCTTGTTTGAGCACATAAATGAAGCTTTAATTCTGGAAATTTAAGGACTTTGACTCAACTTGGACTTCCAGATCACTGACTTTTGACTCGACTTGGTTGTCTTTGACTTGGACTTGACTGCAAAGTTTTGACTTACTTGTAACTTGCAAAGCAGTGACTTGGTCACGCCTCTGTAAATGACCGACAAGGGGAGCTGCATTTGAGATTGTTTAAAAAAAGGCTATTTTGCATTAATTCTATTTAATTCAGATCAGCAAACACATTTGAAATAAAGTTGACCTGAGTAAATAAAAAATGCCATTTTTAAATGATTTAATTTCTTAAGGGAATGAAGCTCTCCAGAAAGAAGCCTGGTACTAAATCTAAGTATCTTTGTTAAATCATGAGTTAACTCTGATTAAACTTATTTAGAAGCCGCTACTACCAAACCTGTACTTTTAAAAAATCACTGCATCCATCCATCAAAGTCCACTTGTCTGGGGTCGGATCACAGCGGCAGCAGCCTAAGCAGGGAGGCCCAGACTTCCCTCTCCCAGCTCCTCCAGGGAATCGCAAGGCATTCCCTGGCCAGCTGACAAACATAGTCCCTCCAGCGTGTCCTGGATCTTCCTTTGGGTCTCCTCCTGGTTGGACGTGCCCAAAAAACCTCATCAGGGAGGTGTCCAGGAGGCATCCTGACCTTAGTTAAGGCCAATCTGAAAAGTACTCAAAATTCAGTCTGGAGTAAATCTAACACTAAAATATCATAGCTAGTCAGACATGGTGGTGGTAGTGTGATGGTGTGGGGCTGGACCTGGACCACTTGCTGTAACTGACTGAACCTTAAATTCTGCTCTCTAGCAGAACATCTTGAAGGTATGACCTTTAACCTTAAACAGGCTGCTCAAAATGGAAAATCCTCCAAGTTTAGTAACGATTAGTAAATTGCGCCGTGCTGATGTCAGACGCTCGTTACCGTTATCACAAACCGCTGCAGAGGGAGGAGGGTTTAACGAGGGTAGAAGCTACGAAGCAGGGGGGTTGTTTTTTGAGTGTGGGCCTGTTGATGTACAAAGGTCGCATGCTCGTGGTCTCAGACTGCAGCAGGAGCCGGCAGCCAATAGTTTCACCGTGGATTACCTGTGTGTGTTATGGAGGGAGGGAGAGACGGGCAGAGAGAACACACACAATCCAAACATTTTAAAGTTTGGCACAGAACTTTTATTCATGCAACACAACTGCAGTAATCAGATTATTAGGAAAAAAAAACTTCTATTGTAACAACGCTACTGTAGTAAAAACGAAAAATGGAGTAACGCTAACACGTAAAACAACAAAACGCACTAGTGAAGCGTGTGGAGCTACACTACCCCCTCCTCTGTGTCCATGTGGGTGGTTCTGCTGCAGAACAAATCAGCCAGCATGTGCTTGGGGATCTCAGAGCCGCGGACGTGCAGGGTGTAGCACGCATCCTCCACCTTCCCCAGGCTCTGGCGAAGCGTGTGCAGCTTTTTGGAGACCTCGTACGGACCCGTGTTCCCGATGTAGGAGAAACCGTCGTGGATCTGCCTCAGGAACTGGCTCAGCTGGAAGGGAGTCTCTATATCGCCGTTGCCCACGCTGCTGATGCACATGCGCATTAGCTCCCCCGTCAGATCGGCCACGCCCAGCAGGTAGTCCGCTGGCGTCACCTGGAAAGTCAGAACGTGAGTTCCTCGCGGTGCAGCTTCAGCAGAACCCTGAAGGGAAAACACAGAAAGATAAATTAGTTTTTCTCAGAGGCTAGACAACTCCAGGACGAGGTTTTCTTTAGGCACACCTTCGGATCCGCCTTCTCTGTCCCCATGAACACCAGCCTGGCGTTGATCTCCTCCAGGCTGATGAGGCTGCGATGACGGATGTAGTGCAGGAAAGAGACGGCCTCCACATATTCTTGAATTCCTGAAATGTGAAACTCCATTAGAGTAAAATCACATTAAAAAGCTGTTTCATCTTTAAAGCTGCTACCAAAAACACAGATCGTGCATTTGTCCTCAAAAAACAAAACAAAATACAACCATGTATGATGAGCTTTAAACGCTACCTGAAAACAATCCCTCAAAAAGAAACCTTTTCCTGTTTCTGTTGCTTTGTAGAAGAGCAGTGTGTGTGTGTGTGCGCGTGCGTGTGCGCGCGAGCATGTGTGTGTCATGCTACGACGACCCCTCATTTGTTTCCAGCTCCTGAGTAAACAATAATCAAATAATCACAGGACGGAAGCGGTCGTGTCTGAAGTTTACTTTTGGAGCTGGAGCTGGACTTGAAAGGGCCGGATCTGGTATGTCCCTGGTCCCAAGGTGCTGCAGAGCACTGTAGGAAGCATTATCTCCACTTCTCTCCTGATTATCTGTCACTTAGGAGTCTCCTTTTAGCACGTACTCGAGTCAAAACAAACGAAACTAACAACTACGCTCAAAAAGGTCGACCCAATTAGACCTTTTAAAATGAAACCTAACTGGTTTTCTAATCTAAACACCAGAGACTGATGTTTGTTTACTTTGATAGTTTTGCTCATTATGAATTATTCCCCACTGTTTAGATTAATTAGCTCATTCAGTATGTCATGATTAAAGGTAGCTATTTTCCCCAAAAAATGAATAATTTTAATGACCTCTGAAATGTAGAATCCTGAAAAACCTCATCCAATCACTGTGAACATCACGTTCTTCATTAATGGATCCTGATCCATCAATCAAACTGCCCTTTGGCGTCCCTCCCCTCTCTGCACACACCTCTCTATGTGCATGAATCGTGTGTTCTCGACCTGGAGCAGCTGAACAGGAAGTGAAGCCAGAGTACGCTGCCTAGTGTAACAGACTGAATGTTCCATTACGTTTGCAAATTGTTTCACATCGTTTGTACATTCGTTATGTGTGATCCGTCAAATTCCATTGCTTGGAAGGATGTCCTCTGCTGCCCGCAGATAAAAGGAGAAGGAAGTGACGCCTAACCAGTGGTGGTGCTCTGAGGAAGCTACAGTGTTAGCCGAAACTTGTCAGCTTAAAATGTAAAAACAAATCATTTCTAAAATGTTTTTAGAAAAGAACCAAGCAATGGAAACGTTTCACGTGTTCCATTTAGAGTTTGGTTCTGTTCTTGTTGGGAAACATTTAGGTGACGGACCTGTCGTCTAAGAACACAGCCTGTACTCTGTCGGCTGGTGGAGTCACCAGTTAGTTGCCTCTGCAACAGCTGGGTTCTAGATGTCTTTACCTGTTATTTGCACAATTGTCTCTATGTGTTTGCAAATATGTCTAATAGAATAAGTCTATTCTATTCTATATGTCCGGCCATATAAAAGAACATGTTGATAAAGTGTCACGTGTGTCTTTTCAGTGCAACTACGGCCTAAACTTTGCATGTTTTCTCACAATTTTTTGTCTCCAACTCTTTACACCCCAGTGAGACACAGAAAATATTATAAACCAGGCAGAGATGCACCAAAACTATTCATCTGGCAACAAGAATTGGTCAATATTCAGGCCCGTTTGGTGATTGGCTAGCCCTCTATAGAAATGTCTCAACAGTTCACAGCTGCGCCTCTCTGACTTAAAGGGAAATGACACAACCCAAGGAGAACAGGACATAACATGAATGAGAAGGTTACACAAGAAGCTGTTTGTTGTTTGTTCTAGAGGAGCGGTTACCTTTGGTCAGTGACACTAACACGAAGAGGAATCACTGGATAGAACGTTCAAACAGAGACTGAAGGGGAGAAGCAAACCGGAAAAGGAGGAATTTTTCTTGGCACCACATTTGGAAAAGACAGAGTTAGGAGAGTGCACAGCCCACATGAATCATATCTACAACAACAGATGAGAACTGCGTCTAAGTACTGGGAGTTATAGCTTTAGTACAGGGGATAAGTTTATGGTTTACTGAGCAAGAAGAGAACCAAGAGAAAAGTACGTTTCTGTTTTCACAGAATCATCAAAGTGTTGCACGGCCTTGTTATCAGCGTCCACATTTATCCCCTGATGGTCCTTGTATAAAAGAACAGGCACGGCTAACTTCTCCTCCAGCTAAAATTATCTGGGAAACCCGTAAAGTCAACTCGGTCGCAATCTAATAAGGTTAAAAAAGGGAGGGAAAAAAAAGAGAAGAGGCCACTAATTGGTGGAAACTGCCACTGGTCACGTCGTGGAGGACACAGCAGGGCCTTCCCAGCTGCTAGATAACAGCTCACTCTCACTCCCACTAATGGCTTTCTCTCAGCTCTGCAGACATAATGGCTATGGGTCCTGGTGCTGGTCAAAAACAACTTTATCAGAGGGTGTGTCTGTCAAAAGCATCAGGATCATGTTCTCACGCCATCAGCATCAGACAGATAAATGACTTAACACCAGCAACAGTGGAGCAGTCTTTAAAACCCTGAGCTCGTTACAAAATAAAAAAAGTTGCCAGTGAAAATGTCATTTCACATTTGCATGTGTCAACTCACCTGGAGTAAAAGCTCGGTGAAACTGATTAATATCTCCTCCTCTCAGCTCTTCTGCGATCTGACTGATCTTCTGCCTGACTCCATCCAGCTTTCCTTCAGCTTCATTCAGAACGTCCTCAGGAGCTGCAACACTTTACAACCAAAAGGGAACTAGTAGGAGGCATTTATTTAAACTCATGTCAAATTTATTCAAAGTTATTTCTCATTTAAATGACTTTTAACATCTAAACTGTTGTGTTTCTACAACTTCAGTCTTTGATTGCTCAATAAGTTTTACTAATAATCCAGTAAAGGAATAAACGTTGTGTTTTGGCTGAGTTGCACATCTACACGAGTTAACGGACTGAACGAGAACTCACATGCTTGACTATTCCTGGGATTCCTGCTAATAAATGTGCTGCAGCTTATCACCAAGCTGTTCCTGGAAGGCTTGTGTCATTTACTTGTCACACTTTGTGTTTAAATTTTAATATGAGAGCTATTTGATTATCAGTCTCTTATTAGTAGGGTTGGGCATCGTTTGATTTTGAACGACTCCGATTCCAATTCCTCGTTTTGATTCCGGTTCCTATCGATTCCCGATTCCGATTCTTTCAAGACATGGCATGTTCTACATGAGCCAGCTAACCACAGGTCCTACTGGATGAAATAATCTTAACTTCAACATGAATTTTAACTCTATGAACAACATCATCACCTTCATTTAGACAAAAACATGTTTTGGAGGAAAAAAGAAAAAGACTTGCAGCACAACCAGTGTGTTTGTTTCTGACCACAACCAAAGTCTGGAAGCAGCCTCTGGGATGAGAGGCTAAATGTCTCCAACACATCCAGAAACGTGCAGCTGTTTCCAGCTAAAACTCTCAGGATGATCATGTCCAGGATGACTGAGAACTGCACCTCCATGCTGCAGCAGCTTCAGTCACAACAGAAGCTTAACCGTAGCTGCTGTCAGTAACAAGCTAACAGGTTTAAACATTAAAACTCAACAGAAACAGTTCAGAAAGGAAATTTCACAGCTTCGTGTGTGATTTATTATTATTATTATAAGTTATTGTGGCAGAAGCTGGTGTGGTCCACCACAGAGAAGCTGCTCTAGCATGATGACTTTAATTATTCAGCCTTCTGACGCGCGCGCGCACACACACACACACACACACACGAGTGTTGGTGAGCGGCTGCGTCTGACTGCTGACGCTCCGTGTGTGTTTTTATTTCTGCAGTGAGACAAAATCACCTCACACCGTCCAGAGTTTGTTCTTTAAAGCTTCTATTAAATCCACCGTGTTGACATCTTTTAGCAAGTTTCCTCTACGCTGCAGGAGTTAAAGTTTACATTATGGAGTAAAGGTTCGGCAGACGCGTTTGTTTATATTTGGCCGCTGCGCGCCGGGTGGGGGGAGGGGGGACTCGTGCTGCACACACAGACAGCTGATGTGATCAGCTCTGGAAAGAGTTGATCACAATTTGCAGATCACGTTTATTTTTCAAGGAGATCGGCCGCGGATTCCTCTTCCGTCGGCATTCTAGGAATCGAAACTAGGGCCTAGTCCACACGTAGCCGAGGTTTTTAAAAAACGAATATCTGCCCCTCCAAAAACTTGCATCCACACCACCTCGTTTAAAAACAAACTCTGTCCACACGTAGCCGGATAAATACGTTGTTAAGGACATGCCAGACCTGTAGGCGGCAGTACTTCCCCCGTTCTTAACCTCGTCCTTCGTCTGTGGTCTTCCGCAAGGAGCAGTAATTCCGCTTGCAAAAACAAACAAGCAAAAAGCGCTTGGACAACTGATAAAGCGAGCGCAGCTCTGAGGGCATCCATGCTGTCGGCTAGTGTAAACACAGGTCGCACACGTGATGTCAGCATTTTTTGTCGCGGAAAGTGACGTTGCGGCCCTTAAAACTCCGGTTTTGTCTGTCCACACGCAGACACCCAAAACGGAGAAAACGCAGATCTTCACTTTGGCCGGAGTTTTTAAAAAGAGCCGTTTTCGTGTGAAAAAACTCCGTTTTCGTGTGGATGACAGGCCAGAACGTAGAAAAATATCTACGGTTTGGCAGATCCCCGGCTACGTGTGGACAGGGCCTAGGAATCGAAATAAAAAACTTTGAACGATTCCAGGAAAAATGAACAGTTGGAACCGGTTCCAATCGATGCTCGATTCTCGATGCCCAACCCTTCTTATTAGGTACATTTCTTGTCATAAAGGGCAGATGTTTACAGGCATGAACTTGGGTTATCTGTTGATAATTATTACCAGAAACTTAAGACCAAAAGTATTCCCTTTGTTTCAATAAATTAACCTAAGGCTGCATAAAATCGAAGTTGGAAAGTCACTTACTTGGTCACTCTGTGCAAAAGAAAAATGGTCCTCTTGCTTTCAATAGTGACATCTCGACTGATCTTAACGAGACGCTCATATTTGTCATGCTTTGCATCAAGCTCCTGCTGGAAAACTTTAAAAACAGGGATAGAGTTGTTGTTTGTTTTTGCAGTGAATATATTAATCACAAAGTCAGCTTTTAGGGTGCAGCTAGTTACCTCTGAAGGCTGTGATGACCGGCGAGGTCGAGTTGATGCTCATCTCCTGTGCAGCATCAACTTTTTTCCTTAAACATACTTCACCTGGAACTATTAAAAGGTGATAATTCAGTATGAATTCAACAACACTTCTTTTTCTGTAGTATATTTAAAGTGGGCTCTAAGAGAAACTGCAGCAATTTTGCAGGAATTTCTGGACCAATTTTTACTGACAGTTATTTGCTTATTTAATTAATTCATTCTATCTCTGATAACTGATTAATTAATTCATTATTTATTTATTTATTCAGAAGGGAAAAATAAAATCTAATGAGCAAATTACAAATATAAATGAACGGTTAAATAACAGGTTTTACAGTAATAATGATAAAGGAGGAAAAAATACATCACAATAGTGAAGTTGTCATTTTCTTGCATAAAATGTTTGCACCATGACATATTCTTACTCGTTCTTTTCATTTAAATATATGCGTTTAAGTATGTGGTGTCTCTGCCACATAAACAAAGCAACACTGCTATGAGTCGTGTTTTGCTCTAATATCAGTAGTTTCAGTGTGGTCACAAAAGACTGCAATGGTCTCTGTGTACTCATGGTTAGAGCTTAAAGTTGGCTTTGTCTCTAAAATCTTTTTATTCTTCCTACTGCGTTTCTGGTTTATTTATTGAGAATGTTAACTAAATCTAATTTTAGTGCTTATAAATTTTTTGATAAAAGGATGTTGTAACTGAGACTGCTTTCACTGATATGCTAAACGATATATTTGCAGTACTGTAAAAAAAAGCATAAAATTACCTGAAAAATTACTATTTCTAGAACACACACACACACACACACACACACACACACACACACACACACACACACACACACACACACAGTAAAAAACTATAAACCTGTTCTTTGCACAAACTAAACTACAAGTATGTTTACTCCCAATCAATTACATTTTTAATCATCAGAAAACAGTCGCCATGTTGTTCTGAAGGACGAGGCTACTCTAGTAGCTAACTGGAAATGTATTTTATAACAACTTCCACAAGAAATTAATAATCTTAAGCTGCTGACTGTGGCAGCCCACAAAACCTAGCTAAAATAAAGTTAATAATTTCTAGTTTCACATACGAGGCTTACCTTCCCTTTTATTCATGCCTTCAATGTTGCAGGTTATATTTTAGTGAATTCAGTTAAAGCTAGGCTAGCTAGCTAGCTAGACGAACGTTAAATATTAGCCTTCGTCTCCGCGCACTTTATTCCACGTTTCTGGCGTTATCGAGGTTATAAGACAATGACTATCGACTCTTTCAGAGAAAACGTACGTTGCGAAACAAACAAAATCATTAATTAAAGTCTGTGAATCATGTCACGCTAGAATAAATTTCTTATTTTTGTCAACAAGCATACATGTGAACCGTAGTGACACAGGAAAACCTAAGTCACGCCCATCTACTTCCGGGCCACGGATCCCCCCAACTCAAAAAAATGTATGAGAGGATTAAAGATTTTTTTTATCCCGTTTGATATGTGCCATGAATTTCACATATTTTAAAGACACAATTTAATTACAAAAAGTGCCTTTTTTCGAACGGCGGGAAAAGTTATTTCTGTTAAGACGTAGCGGAAATACAGCGAAGTGCATCATGGGAAATGTAGGAACTGTGACAACTGAGTTGTCAAATTACTAAAATGATAAATGACCCCACTTGTACAGCGCCTCTCAGAGTGATGACTCCAAAGCGCTTTACACTGCAGTGTATCATTCATCCATTCACACACACATTCACACACTGATGGTGATGAGCTACGATGTAGCCACAGCTGCCCTGGGGCGCACTAACGGAGGCGAGGCTGCCGAGCACAGGCGCCACCGGTCCCTCCGACCACCACCAGCAGGCAAGGTGGGATCAGAGCCGGGATCGAAGCTGCAACCTTCCGATTACTGGACAACCCGCTCAACCTGATGAGCTGCTGCTCTCAAAATACATATAAATGTATTTGAATGTGTGGTTTTGCAACTATTTTAAACACGCACACACGCACGCACGCACACACACACACACACACACACGCACGCACGCACACACACACACACACACACACACGCACGCACGCACACACGCACACACACACATATATATTTTTTAAAACCTTTTTCAACATTAATCTTATATTTGTTAAGCATGTTTTACTCATTCATTGTAAATTATGAGTCAAAGCTTGTCAGATGTCCATTCAGGTGCACAACATGCAATTAAAAAAATATTTTGCTGAAAATAAATTTAATCTTAAACTAATGTCTAATCCTGACTTGTTTTCCTCATTTTTTTCAGGATATGTTGCAGAAACAGCAGCCCTAGCAGGGAGACCTATAATGTCCTTTCCACAGTCTTTTCTGGGTCACCTTCCAGAAAGACAAGCTGAAACACCAGATTTCGATGTGCCGATCCTCAGCTGCTTTATTCCTGGCTGCAAAACTCCCCAGCAACAGCTAAAGGTTGTTGTCCAACGACACAGAAGCCATATAATCTACCCCTGACTTTTAAATGAACAGCATCCTCTTAAGGCAAGTTATTTGTTATGCAAAAGAAGTTGAACAAGCGTGAAATAAAGAGTGCCTGTAGGTGTTGGGTGCAATTAGGGCTGCAACCTGTCACTAATCAGATACTGCAGGTTAAAGCTGTTATCAGAAGAAGCAGAAGAAGAACAAGAAGAAACAACCTTGTATATAGCACCTCTCACGATAAAAATCAAGAAAAGGAAATATTAAGACTGAAATATGTAAATTAAAAAGAAAAAGGTAATCACTGAATCCTGAAAAATACAGATTTGACAAACACTACTGCATGAAAAGGAGCTAATGAGGAAAAATAGGATGAGCAGGAGGTCACACCAAAGCCACCCTGAACAAGTGAGTCTTCAACTGCTCTTTAAAGGAGACGACTGAGTCCACTGATCTCAGGCTCAGGGGGAGAGAGGTCCAGAGTCTGGGGGCCACAGCAGCAGATGATCTGTCACTGTTGACCTTTAGCCTGGTGCTGCACAACCAGTAGGCTTTGATCACTGGACCTCAGGGACCTGCTGGGGGTGTAGGGACTAAGAAGATCACCAATGTAAGATGGTGCTTGTCCATGTAAGGCCCTATAGACCAGAACCAGGATCTTGAAATGAACCCTGAAGTTGACTGGCAGCCAGTGAAGCTGGAGGAGAAGCGGGGTGATGTGGGTGTGTTTGGAGGACTTGGTCAGAAGCCGAGCACAGGCGTTCTGAACCACCTGTAGACGGTTCAGGGAGGTTCTGCTCAGACACGTGAAAAGAGAGTTACAGTAGTCTAAGCTGGGGCAGCAGTGTGGTAGAGCGGGTTGCCTCATGATCGGAGGGTCATGGGCTCGATTCCAGCTCCTGCCAGGGGTACCCTGCTGTTGTGTCCTTGGGCAAGACACTTCACCCAACTTGCCTGTGTTAGTGGTGGTCAGAGGGGTCGACGGCGCCAAATGTCAGACCTCCCCAGGGCGGCTGTGGCTACAAGTAGCTTACCATCACTAGCAGTGTGTGAAAGCGTCTTTGGGTGTCTAGAAAAGCGCTATATAAGTTCAATGCATTATTATTATTATTATTATTATTAAGCGTGAGGAGAACAGTCTCAAGATCAGATCAGGACAGAATGGGCTTAGCAATGTTTCTGAGATGGAAGAAGGAAGAGCGAACAAGAGAACTGACATGAGAAACCACGGTGAGAGCTGGGTCAAAGGTCACACCAAGATTCCTGACCAGGTTTGGTGTGAGAAGCAAGCTCACCAAGAGCATCACTGAAGAAGTTTATCTGGGCACAGAGGTATGATCTCGGTCTTGTCTTCATTCACCTCTAGAAAGTTCCCAGTCATACATTTTTTCATTGAGTCTAACAAAGTCTAACTAACAAAGCATGCAGCAGCTGCTGCTTCCATATGGAGATGTACAGTTGAATGTCATCTGCGAAAAGATGGCAGCAGATTCCTTTAAAAGAGCTCAGGATGTGGATGTGAGCTTTGTGGGACACCATGGGCAAAGGAGGTGGAGGAGGGCTGAAACCTGGAAACGGCCACAGAAATAGAAATTATGAGATAGTATCTCACAATAGCATCTCATAATTATAAGATCTGTTTTTTTTAAACAGAGTAGCAGGAATGGGCTTATTTTTGCTCATTTTAAATATATTTTTAAACATTTTCTAAATGCTTTTTTATATTTTTACATTTTTTGTTTTTGTGAAGCGCCTCGTGATTTTTATCTTGAGAGGCGCTATAGAAATGATACTTTCTTCTTCTTCTTCCAAACGTGCTTTCTCTGTACTTTGAAGCGTTTCATGTTCAGTCTGTTGGTCATCTGTGTATACATGGAGATACGATGTCTGGGGTTCTCCAGTGTTTCAGAAATCCACCCTTCTTCATGAGGAATAAATTGTTATATTTCAAGTAATGTGTCCGAATCCAAGGGTAGGAAGCTTGTGAGTACACATCGAGGCCGGTTACGTCACAGCAAAGAGACGAATGCTGTCCGAAAAGGAATGATATTTATATATTTTAATAGTTCACTTCAGCAGTGAACCAAAATGTGTCAAATACCCTCCACGTGTCCCGGCCCTGGTGTGTATTTCATTTGACCCACAACTCCTGAAGGCAACGCGGGGGCGGGGTTTGAGCTCTGACGTCAACGAGAGCCTCGGACAAACAGCACGCACACAGAGCGGCGCCATGCAGTAGACCGATCCCGACAGCTAGCCTGTCGAAATGCCTCCCGAAGCCCTCGAGCCGACCCGCGGCTGAATGCTTGTCCACGGGCGCACACTGTGGCGTTACTTCACCGTTCGAACATGCGGAACCGGGACAAGACCGACAAAATGGCGAGCGTTTGAGTTTAATTCGACCGTTTCGCTCGGCGTAGCGAGACAGAGGCAGTGGCTCTTTCCCCAAAGTAAGTAGACGGTTAGCAGGGCGCGTGTGAAGGATCGAAATTAAAGGAGCAGTACAACCGCTGCAGCTCTCGTAATGGAAAAGCAGCAGAGCGATTTGGACCGAGACCGACAGTATTGTGAACTTTGTGGGGAGATGGAGAACCTCCTTAAGTGTGGAAGGTGCCGAAGCTCCTTCTACTGTAGCAAGGAGCACCAGAAACAGGACTGGAAGAAGCACAAGCTCATTTGTAAGGTGGCGGACAAGTCCCTGATTTCCAAACAGATACCCGGACACACTCCTCCGTCGGGAGAGGACGGGGGACCGGATAAAACCAGCACGGAGAATGTCCCCGATCAGTCGAACTCCCCGTCTTCACCACCAGCCCCAGACACAGAAGCACCTGCAGCCGGGTATCGAGCGGGAGAGGTGGGATCTAACGGCCCCGCCACACCTAACGGACAAACCAGCCTGTCCCCTCAGAGACTCGCCGTGGAGATCATAGTACCGTGCATGAACAAGCACGGCATCTGCGTCGTGAACGACTTTTTAGGAGAAAAGACCGGGCTGAGCGTTCTGGAGAATGTCAAGGCCTTGTACAAAAAGGGTAAATTCACAGATGGACAGCTGGTCAGTCAAAAGAGCGACTCTCCTAAAGACATCAGGGGGGACAAAATCACGTGGATAGAGGGGGGAGAGGACGGCTGCGAGAAGATCAAGTTCCTCATGGGTCGCATGGACGACCTAATCAGACATTGTAATGGCAAACTGGGGAACTACACTATAAATGGAAGGACAAAGGTAAGTATTGCAGCATGTCCAGGTAGAAGACTGTCAATCAGAAGTGTTGTCCCTCAGAGAAACTCCTATTGTTCAGTAATACATCAGTCACTACATAAAACCTACTTTAAGTCAGCAAATGCATATGAGTGGAGGTAAGCTGCCTCCAGGGGAAAGCATGGCTAATGCCCCGAGTCAGGTGGATTATTCCACCCAGCACATGGATGCAAAACACAGAAATGCCTCCCACCAACAGAAATAAGCTGCTGAAGGCCAACCATGACCACTGTGATTCCCCACTGTGCAGCTTTAAGCAATCTAAATTAAACTTTTTAAAATGACTCAATCTAAAAAGTGTTTTGGCAGAATAAAACAAGATGTACGAGGCAAGTAAGCTTGCTAGCATAAAGTCAGATCAAAGTGTGCACGTTCTTAAATATCAGAGTAAAACTAATCCAAATGGCAACAGCTTTGCATGAAAGGCGCTATTAAAAAAATAACTCAACTGTACTGAATGTTAAGTTTTCCCACCGAGGGACAAGTAAGATGCAATTAATGAACTCCTGATTGGATTAAAGCAGCATGCAAGGTTTGCATGCACACAGCGCATTTTTATATCATGGATCATTCAAAAGAAAGCCAAATTTTTTTATTGCATTAAACATAATTACAATTACAACTTAAATTATGGCTGTGCAATTTGTCAGATCGGTGTTTTCATTCCAACAGTCACAAAAACAATGTAATGAAGGAAATCAATGATTATTTTTGTCTCTTCCGTCCCTTACAAAGCCTAAACTCATGCATCTTGTCAAGTTTTAAAAAGTTGTCCCAAGAAGGTAATTAAACTATGTCTGCATGAATATGTAGTTAATGTATCACAAATATAGCTTTCTTTGGTCTCTTTCCTCAGAAGGCCGGGTTTTTACAGTCATCCTGTTGCTTTCTGCAAAAATCAGGATGTTACTGAAATATTTCTAAATGGGTATGACATCTATGGCAGTCTGTCTTGCTGTTAGGCCAATAATGATTTTTATTTCACGATTTTACCATGGTGGAGCGGTTTATGGCACAGTAAGGAGGTTGTAGGTTCGAATCCCCTTCTGTGCTGAGTTAGAATGTTCTTGGTTTTGTTCAACTCATTAAGTACATAATTGTGATCTCAATATTGACCAAAACAGCCGTGATTTTTTTTTATATAATCGAGCATCCCTGTCATCGGCCATGATGTACATAACTGTGTATTTGTTTTAAATGGTTCTTCACTTCTTTTTCTAGTGTCCGTCACAAAGAAACTTATTTAAGCAGCATTTACGATCAATGCAAATGGCTACAATTTTATTTTTGCACAACCACTGTGACTGTTAAAAGAGCTGTTTAGTAAAATATTTGCATATCACAGCATGATGGGCATGTTTTCAGTAGACAAGAAGAAGTAGCCTAGAAAATTCCACCAGATCATCAGTTTCAAATATTCGCTGATCCATTCATGCAAATGTAGTAGATTTTTATGTCTCTAGGACAGTAGCACAAGTGACTATGCTGAACGTTGATCCATTTGGAAAACAGCCCCCTGAAGTCGGATAGACATGTGGATCATTAACAGGGACCCAGAGTGACGCAGCACTGGCCAGGTGGCTGGCTGAATACTTCAGTTCACTAACAACACACGCGCCACCGAGGATAACTTGTAGTTTTTGGAGTAAGCATACATTATGAAAGCGATTAGAAACCACCAGCCCTGTATAAAAAAAATAAAAAAAAGCAAGTCATTTTAGCCCAAACTTAAAAATGCTACATGTCAGCCTGGCTCCATCCTTGCTGCTGGCTTGCGTGTGACCTGCAGCTCTTTTTTTAACCAGATGTGGTCATTTTGACCCTTGTTGTGATGGACTAACCCAGGAGGAATTGAGCTGCTTCCAGCCCTTTTCCTTTTCCTTCTCCTCTCCAGGCGGCTATCACACAAAAAGCCCCAAATACCATATTTTTTTATTTATATAGTGAGTGGATTTTGTTGCATATTGTGCAGTCCAATAACACAAATAGGCTTTTTTAATTTCTAAAATCTAAATCATGGAGATTTTAGTGTGAGAATAATTCAGTCACATATATCATATTATAGACTAAACCCTAATCCCCCCCCCCCCCAGACTAATCACTCAGTGTATGACTGACGCTATTTAGTCTGTAAGGTTAAAAAATAGTTATATTTGTTCTTGTGGTCAAATGATTTACAAAGACCGTCTAGAACAGGGGTATTCAACTCTGGGCCTGGAGGGCCGGTGTCCAGCATGTCTAGTTTGAACCCTGTTTCATCACACCTGATTTTAGTCAGCAGGTAAACAACAGACTTCTGCATTGTCTAATGAGCTAGCTGCATCACTCAATCAAGTGTGTAGGAGCAGAGAAACCACTAAAATGTGCTGGATACTGGCCCTCCAGGAACAGAGTAGAGTACACCTGGTCTAGAATTTATAAAAGCTTCTAATTACAGCTCATCACAAATGGCTTCCTTAAGATCCAAGTGAGTTTTTTGATGTTACATAAATACACTCACCTAAAGGATTATTAGGAACACCTGTTCGACTTCTCCTTAATGCATTTATGTAATCAACCAATCACAAGGCAGTTGCTTCAATGCATTTAGGGGTGTGGTCCTGGGCAAGACGATCTCCTGAACTCCAAACTGAATGTCAGAACAGGAAAGAAAGGTGATTTAAGCTATTCTGAGCGTAGCACAGTTGTTGGTGCCAGACGGGCCTGTCTGTTCAGTTACTGGGATTTTCACCCACAACCATTTCTAGGGTTTACAAAGAATGGTGTGAAAAGGGAAAAACATCCAGTATGCGGCAGTCCTGTGGGCTAAAATGCCTTGTTGATGCTAGAGGTCAGAGGAGAATGGGCCGACTGATTCAAGCTGATAGAAGAGCAACTTTGACTGAAATAACCACTCGTTACAACCGAGGAATGCAGCAAAGCATTTGTGAAGCCACAACTCGCACAACCTTTAGGCGGAGGGGCTACAACAGCAGAAGACCCCACCGGGTACCACTCGTCTCCACTACAAACAGGAACAAGAGGCTACGATTGGCACCAGCTCACCAAAATTCAACAGTTGAAGACTGGAAAATGTTGCCTGGTCTGATGAGTCTCTATTTCTGTTGAGACAGAGCCAGAATTTGGTGTAAACAGAATGAGAAAATGGATCCATCATGCCTTGTTACCACTGTGCAGGCTGCTGGTGGTGGTGTCATGGTGTGGGGGATGTTTTCTTGGTACACTTTAGGCCCCTTAGTGCCAACTGGGCGTCGTTTCAATGCCACGGGTCATTGTTTCTGACCATGTCCATCCCTTCATGACCACCATGTACCCATCCTCTGATGGCTACTTCCAGCAGGATAATGCACCGTGTCATAAAGCTCCAATCATTTCAAACTGGTTTCTTGAACATGACGATGAGTTCACTGTACTACAACAACCCCCACTGTCACCAGATCTCAACCCGATGGAGCATCTTTGGGATGTGGTGGGCCGGGAGCTTCGTGCCCTGGGTGTACATCCCACACATCTCCATCAGCTGCAAGATGCCATCCTGTCAATGTGGGCCGACATTTCTAAAGAACGCTTTCAGCACCTTGTTGAATCAACGCCACGTAGAATTAATGCAGTTCTGAAGGCGAAAGGGGGTCAAACACCGTATTAGTATGGTGTTCCTAATAATCCTTTAGGTAGTGTATTTTTGGTGGCATTATGTTATCTAATATTTTGTGCGCGATGTACTGACATTTAAACTTGGGTTCTTTTTCAAGGTTAAACCTTTACGTGGACAATGAATTGGTTATTTAACAAAAATTTGATTTAATGGAAACTATTGTTTTGTATTTGCACTTATGAAACACAGCTTTTTATTGTGTGGAACCATGAATCCCTCCTCTCCTATCCAGGTTTTTTTCCCTGTCTGACGGCCGGACGAGAAACGTTCCTCAGAATCATCTCAGTTCTTGTTGTTGATCCGTGCAGCTGTCCCCTGTGTCAAACACCCAGAACTTCCTCGCATGCCATGCCCGCCTCAGTTGCCTTGGCAAGCACACAGCTGGACTGTGACCAGCATGACTTGCACAAAGCTGGAGGGCCGTGAATATCAATGACCCAAAGAGAAGCAACACAATGTCGGCACATTTCATATTGGAAGAGACGGAGGAAAACATTTGTCCGGAGAGTTATTTAAAGCCGTTGTTTCTGTTTCCCCCTCTCACTTCAGAGCTTTCTGGAAAGCAGCAGGCAGCAAGGCGTGTTCGTTACTCTGCAGATCCAGTAGCTGAATGCTTTCTCTGTTCATTCTAATCTCTCCAGAGACATGGACTTTAGAAATAATAATAATGTTTACGTGCGCTAGCATACTGGAGCTAGGTGGCATAAGTGCTCTAACACTAAAGAGACGGTGTTCGTATAGTGCAGGTGTGTTGTTTTGTAGGTTTGACATGTGATATGATGCATTTTGTGGTCTAAAAGGAAGTCATCACTTAAATTAGTTAACACTAATAGATAAAGTTCTATTGGAAAAGCACTGCACTACTTACTGAACCAGACTGCTGATTTTATGATGTCAGGTTCCTCAGGACCTGGTTCAGCAACGGTAATTTTCCGGAGCAAAAGATTAGCCGTTTATATTGATACATGCAGGGAACAACCCCCCCCCCAAAAAAAAATCACTGGAGTGATTTGAGAAGCTTCGATGTTTTGTCTACGACCCCAACTATTTTCACGGGACATGTGCATTCATTTCTTTGAAAATGCTGAAACTCCCCTAAAATCAGGCATCCAACTGAAAATGTAATCCTGCAGCAGCACTGGGTTGTCCGTGGCTTTTCCTAACTTTAAAGAGCAAGTCACCCCCTACAATAGACTTACTTCACTCCCACTTCATGTTTGAAAAATGCAACAAATGCTGTTGCTTGGCAGACAGAGAGGGCGGAGCCGCTAACAAATACACACACACAGGCTCACAATGGCGTTATGAC